GTGCCACCAGAGCCATTTGCTCTCTGGGCGGGAGCATCGTCCGGGGCCGAGGACTCCTCGCCGAAGGACGCCAGCCTCTTCCTCACCTGCCTGCCTTGTCCTGGGGCGTGGGAGGCGGGGGCTCGGGGTCGCCAACCATGTGATCACCGCCGTCATGAAGCTTTTTTTGTCTTACCGATTTCTGCGTCTCCCTTCAGCCACCTCCTTACTTCTGCTCTTCAGAGGTTTCCAGCCCAAATTAGTACGTACCCCCTGCTGGTCTCTGTTCTCCTGCCCCGGCTGGGTGATGGGATGAGGGCTGGGGTTTTCTCTCCGTCTTCAGTGCCTTGTAGAGACTTTAATCTCGCGGCGGCGGCCGAAGCGGCAGGAGCCAGTGTCTGAGAACATGTTTGTCCCGTGGAGATAACAGTGTTGGGGGTGGGGGTCGGGAGGGCAGGGGCTGGCTTTGTTGTTACTTCAAGATTTTCCTTACAGCGACGGAGGGAAACGGTTCAGTTTTGTTTGTCTGGGTCTGACCTTCTGGAACTTGAGTGGCTCTTTTTAGGACGCCAGCATCTTTGAGGAGATGCAGGTTTTCTGTAGCCGGGATGGGTGGTTGGTGGGTCTGTGCTGCCTGCCCCAAGTACCCAGGAAGGAGTGTGCCATGGCCAAAGTGGGTTTGTTACAGGGCCTCCTTCCCCAGAGGGGCGCCTGGAGACCCATGAATCAGGGTACGCTGCCTCTGGGTCTTAGAGGCCCGGCAGAGACCCCCCGACGGCGCCCTGGCGGTGGGAAACAGTGTTCGCAGCAGCCACGCAGAGGGCGCCTAGGCTCTGGGCCTGCAGTGAGCTCGGCACAGAAGGCGGGAAACAGGGTGGGAGAAACATCTGTGTCTTGTTTTCCTGACCCTGTGACTGCCTGGCTGTGCGGCCTCTTGGCCCCCAGAGCCATCTTGTGCGGCCATCCTCGTGCTGTGTCCTTTTGCCGTCTCCCAGGCGCCGGCGAGGGCGCAGGGCTGCTTGCAGCTTCCAGTCTCCTTCTCTCCAGTACACGCCTGCGACGAATGGCGGGAGGAGGACAGGGCCCCATACAGGCAGCTACCCCTACACCCCACCACCACCACCACCCCCCCAGCCTCACGTGTGGATGGGAGGCCCTGGTTCTTTATCAGTCTCAGGGACCCCGAGGAACAACTGGCCTAGTCAGCGATCACAGGATAAAACCAGCCTATTCTTTTGCATTGTTCCCCTTTTTTTCCAAAGGAAGTGTGAGGGAAACCAAGGGGAATTTTTGCCCGTGATTTCCAAGGCGAAGGTCACGGTTCATGGCTGGCTGTTTCCAGAGCGCTTGGCGTTTGGGTCAGTGCGGATTTTTGTTTTTCTGGGGTTGTTTTTGTGTTGTTGTTTTTAACCCATGAACAAAAGAGGCTGATGTTGCCTTGAAAAAAGTTTTCCCCGGCCGCTGCGACGAACTGGTGGCTGCGTTTCTTTCGTGGGTTTTGGGGTCCCTTGGGCAGCTCTTCCAGATTTCACTGAGAATCAGTAGTGAGTGATCTGTGTCTGAAACAGAGCAGTTCTGAAAACAAAGTTGCTTGTGAAATGTTAAGGAAGGAGAAGGTGACAAACGAGAAGGGTGATGGAAGAGTGCTTGCTGGGTCACTCTGCCGCCTGCTAAAATACGACAACCTGGACTTCAGGTGGGCCAGGTGGGTGCTAGAGAGCCTCTTGCCTCCCATGGGTGAGAGCGGGACGGCGAAGGGAAGGGTGCCTCTCATTCCTCCATCATCTAGAATCCTGGGCTCCTCAGCACTTGTCCCTGGCAGCACACACATATGACGAATAGGTGGGAAGGATGGCTTGGCAGTGCATTCACGGTCATAAATAAAGAAGTTGTACAGATGTACAGTATTGGTGTTACAAAATCTGTAAAGCCGGTTATCAGCAATTCAGAGGCCCAAGTAAGAGGCAGACGGAGCCTTCCTATTTGATATTTGAGCAGCCCCTATTTTTAGCATGGGAATTCAACCAGGCGAACCAGCAGATAGGATTGTGGGCTTGCGCTCTAGGAGATAGCCGTGTCTGATTCCAGGATCCGCTGGCTGACTTGCTAGTTTGTGTGGTGAGTTTTCTTAGCGCCTAGAGTTACTTGTTAGACGTAGCTGACTTTCTTATTCCAGGATTAGAAGGTTTACTCACTCACAGTGGATGTCTGGGGCAGGGGGGATCTTGCTTTCTTATGTTACCGAAGACATTGTTGTGTCTCTATCAGGAACTGATTTGCTCTCTGTTCAAACAAAAAAAGTGCCGCATTTTCTTAAGAGGTTTTCCTTTCACATCATTTATATATTAATTGGTTGCTCAAGAGAGAATTGATCATTTTTACAGTTTCCTAACATTTAAACTAAAATTTGTGATCTTTTGTAAAATTAATAAAAATAAAATGTTTTTTTCATGATAACATGTTGTACATGTTTTGTATTACTTATGAAAGTCAAACAAAAATAGTCATTTAAAAGAGTTAATATTTGCTCAATGTAGAAGATTTGGAAGATACTAACAGGTAGAAAGAAGATAATCATAAGTAGTCCAACCCCTCAAAAAACAGTTAATAATTTTGGAGTATTTTTTGGGTAGTTTTCAGAGTTGACTATTTTTGAATAATTGGAAGTAATTAACAGATAATGCAGCCTACCACTTGATGCAGTTTTAATTTCTGCATAAGCTAAAGATTTTTTTAGAGCATTTGGAAACCTTGAAAACGTTTTAATTGCAAATTATCAAGTTATAGGTTGAATGTGAATGTTTTCGGTAGTTAAAATAACAAGAGACCCAAGATTCATTCTGCTGAGAAATCCATTGGGTCGACTGGAGGTTTTCTGCAGCAACAGTGGGCACAGCACCCTTGACTCAGTTAAACCCCAGGTCAGCAGCCACTCAGCTTCTCTCAGATGCAAACGCACAGTGACAGCGTCCCTCTCCCTTGGCTTCCATCAGAGGAAGGCCGCAAGGAGCAGGGAAGCTGTTAGGAGACACGGAGTTAGAAGCAGGTCAGCAGCAAGACTACGAGAGATGCAGCGCCTGCCCCCAGCAGAGGGTCAGGCCTTGTTTCTAGAGGCTGTTGCATCCCAGTGAGATCCCTCACAGGGTCCTGCAGGAGGGGGCTCTCAGCCCGGCATGGCCCACGTGGAACCGTAGAACCCGAGTGTTTGAGCGGAAGCGACGTTTCCGCACGCACACTCTCCACGGCAAGCTTGTAGCACAGCCGGGAAGGCAGCCCTGCGAAATGCTTCCAGAAGCTCTGTTATCCCATTTGAGCGCTACGTGCTCTTGGTCCGCACCCCAGCTCTTCAGCTCTGTCGCACGTCTTTGCCCGTTTCCCTCTCTGAGGCCCAGCCTAACCTCCGGTTTCATCCTTCCCAGCTTAAGTGAGAGCTTTTTCATGGTGAAAGGAGCAGCCCTCTTCTTGCAACAGGGAAGCAGCCCTCAAGGCCAGCGAAGCCTGCAGCATCCCCACAAGCACGCGGGTGAGTCGATGCTCTTCCATGGGAACGCGTTTTCTCTGCCGCGGGAGGGACCCCGTTCCTGGTGGTGAGCCACGCACGTTGGATTTCAAGGCCAGAGAAATAGTGGGACCAGGGCTGTGATGACGGGTACAGGGAGAAGCCCTTCTGCTCTGGCCGGCCAGGCGTGGTTTCCAGGCGGCGCCGGGAGCAAGCAGCCCTTCTGAGCCTGGTGTCTACCTGACGAGTGAGGGGTCGGCAGCACTGGGTTTGGGTGTTAGGATGCCCTACTTACAGTTTATCAGGTAGCTGCATATTTTCAGTTGAAGTAGGGCTTTCTAAACAAACGCCCCAGAATACGCTATAGTCAGGGGTTGTGCCCTTGAAACAGCCACCTTGGGGTGCTCTATACGTAGTCTGGGGATGCTGTCACTTCTCCGAGCATTTGGAAAACTCATTTGGAGAATTTCTTTCTCTCCACGCCCCGCCCCCCCACCACACATACATACATTCTCTATAATACCGAAAGAAAAAAAAAATCCGTTTTTATAAAAGACAGTGGAATGAAAAAATAGTAATTATTAAACTTTGCCAAGACAAAGTTCAGTGACACATCTGGCATGAGCACCTGACAGCCTGCCTAGCCTTGTTAAGCAACATGTGTCCAGACTGTGTATCCTTCCCCCCTTTCTTGCACCCCATAGCTGGGAAAAGGGGATACCCAGGGGTAGAACGAGTGAGATCTTCATCTATTTAGCCAGGGGCCAAGGGAACCCCAGCCCAACAGAGAGAGAGATTCGTAACTGGTCTTCAAGTAGAACGAAGCCACGACACTGGTTGTCTCTAGGTGTTGATAACGTTTTTTTAATTCTAGTTTCCAAACTTTCTGTAACAGGATGTGTTACTTTCACACGGCAAAGAGGGCTCCAGCCAGCCTCGTTAGGGGAATGTCTTTACGAGCCCTTGGCACGCACTGAGATGGAAAGTCTTTATCTTTTAATGGTCAGTTTGGTTTGAGGAAATAGGGAAGTGGTAGTGTAGGGATCAAACCGAGTATTAATTTAGGTTCAAACGCAACCCAATAAGGAATGCCTATAAAGTAAATACACTGGTATTCTCTGGTGATTGACTCTGAAACCAAAGGCAGTTTGAAAAGAAGACTCACGAAAACTTACTTGTGGGTAGCGCTCCCGGGACTTCTGGGATGGGCAGCACACGTTGAATGTCAGCTGGAAGGACTCTGACCCTGAACAGCAGGTGAAAGCAGCTAGCCATTGGGGCCAGCTTTCTCATCGCTGTGATCATTTTGTTTGTCTAACCTCAAGTCACCCAGCTTCATTTTGGATCTGAGTGCTGGGGTTAGAATTTTCTATCTTACAATTGATAACAAACACCAAGGCTCAATCAGTATTTTCACATAATGATATTTGTCATCAAGATTTAAGTCTATCTTAAGACAGGACAACAATTGTTCTCCACAAGGAGGCAGTATGGTGTGGGGAAAAGACCTGGCTTCTGATCCCAGTTCTGGAACTGACTGTGTAGTCATGGTCAACCTCTGAGCCTCAGTTTCCTGATCTTTAAAATGGGCATCACATACCAGTACCTTGGAGGTTATGGAATTTAAAATTTACGCAGGTAACATATTTACCTCCTCGTAGGTGCTCAGTGTACGGCCGCTATAATGATGACTTGCGGTGACTTCTGGTACAATAAAGCTATAAACAGAACCTTTATTTTTGAATTTGCTATCGGTTTTGCTCTGATAGGAACTGAACCATTGTTAATGTCTTAACAGTAATACGTATAGCCACGCAAATGCTCAAGCTTTGCTCGCTCTGTATAAAACGTGTCCTTCCTCTGAATCAAACGGCATTTTCCTACTGTGAGAACTTGATTTGTTGGTCCCATAGGTGACTTACCCCAACATCTGCAAGTGATGATCAACCTTCTGCGTTGCGAAGATAGAATCAAGCTGGTAAGAAGAGACGAGAGTGGCAAGTTTTAATTTTTAATTGTGAAATTTGGTAGGGAATTACTGATGAGCAGCGGGTGGGGTGGTGGGGGGAGGGGGTCTGTGAGTTTTTAAATTTTAGCAAATTCTCCCCAATTGTTCACAAAAGCCAACGCTGAGTTTGCTCCTCGGTGCCCAGAGGGTCCAGAGAAAGGATGTAGGGGGTCTCTGTCCCTCTATCAGTCTGTGCTGAGTCGGCATCTTCAGTGTCTGGATTTTATTATTCACCCATTTAACATACTTGGGGAGCCCCCCCCTCCCCCCGCGTCAGACACTGTCCCTCGTGTTGGGGTATAAATGAGATGCGGCTCCTATGCCTGAGAATCTCACCTTAAAGCCTAAACTCATGGGGGAAAGGTAGGCAGCAGATGTCCTTGATGTTGGTTGGGCGGAGGAAGGGGGCACGACCCGGGAGGGCGGGCCGTGAAAGCCTCTCTGCCCTGCAGGCCGTGCGCCTGGAGAGCGCCTGGGCGGAGCGGGTCCGGTATATGGTGGTGGTGGACAGCAGCGGGCGCCAGGACACGGAGGAGAGCATCTTGCTGGGCGTCGACTTTTCCAGCAAGGAGAGGTGAGTCTGATGGGACAAGAGTTGCTGCTGGAAAAAGAGTCCTGTGGCCCTGTATCCTTGGGGGTTGACGGTGGGATGCACGATGGTGGGTGGCGGGGTGACCAGGAACAGCAGGGCACGGCATTTCCGCTCTTGTGTGCGGCGCTCTGCCAGCTCCGGTCTCTGCTCTGAGCTCAGGGTCTCCTGAGAGGAAAGAAAGTGACACTGTGCTTGGAGGTCTAACACTGGGTGCCCTCGGGGTGCTGGAGACGAGGGCACTTAGCCAGGGGGGCTTCCTGGAGGAGGTGACGGCGGCGGTGAACACCCAGTCAGTGCAGGAGCCAGCCCACTGAGGAGGGAGGACGCCTTCCAGGCAGCCGGGCCTGCTTGAGAAGCGTGTGCTCGACAGGCAGCGTGTTGAGGGCCTTATCCAGTGTTGCTGTCCCACCGATTCCCAAACTGGGAGACGGTCCTGGGTCAGAGGCTCAGAGAAGCTTGGAATTTCCCAATAACTAAAGGCCAAGTTCGTAGTATCATCGGCCCTATTAGGTGTGTGAAGGGGGAATGGAGTGGGTCGTCTTACATTCAGATAAGTTAAAACAGGTGTAAAAATTGCAACTCTGTATGGGTGTAACAAGCTGTACAGGGCTAGCACGAATCATTGGTTGCAGTCTACTCAGTCATTAGGAGAGAAGTAGGAGCTCCTTGCTAGAAGATAACCTGATAGGCCCAGTAAACAAAGTA